ATCTGGATACTACAAATATTCTGGGTTTCTCTGTGACACATGTCCATTTGGATGCTTTCTTTAGCTTTATTGTCACATGTGCTCTATGAGTACAGTGAAAAGTTTATAAGTCACTACTTAAAGCACTATCTTAGGTACAAATGTACTTAGGTACAATCCTGAGCTGCAGAATAGAGAAATGAAGCAAAAAAAAAGTTACATTATTGCTAAACACAGTATGACCATAGGTCTGATAAACAAGAAGCAAAGTTAAAAAGACAAATATCAGTCTCTCTCCAAAGGCTCTCCATGACAGACCAAAACAAGGGGCCTCCACATGGCCCGACTGCTGGCTGCTACCATTCTCCGCACTGGGCCGCTACCTCCATCCCTGCACGAGGTTGCTGGCATCTCCTCCGAACCTACTTTGGAGGCTGGTGTCCGAGGCTGAGAGAAGGGTGGAGAGAGAGAGAAAAGAAAGGCAGAAGAAGAAAAGGAATGGGCGGAACAGACGAGTTCCGGCTGACGCATCCTTCTCTGCCACCATATTACCGGAAGGTTATCGGAACAGTGGCTACCCAACCTCAAGAAGGAGTCAATGACTTCGGGAGAGAACTGGAGGAGTGGAGAACAGATAAGAAGAAAAGAAAAAAAAGGAAAGAAAGTGAAGGCGAGGACAATTTGCTCTTAATGGGATTTCAGAAAATAAACTGGCTGGGGGCTTGTAGGTATGTAAATACAAGTCAAAGATGGTGAGAATTTAAATTAAAATTAATTGAAAAGCAAGCTTTTGTGGTGAGACATTGCAGACGTAAGGTGCACAGATTTTTTTTTAAGATCTATAAACATCAGCTGAAGCTGTGAACCAAGGTAAAGCGAACTATCTGATTTAAATGACATGTCTAACGACACTATAGAAACTTTTTGAAAGCAGACACTCTGGAGTATTTTATAAGTGAAAACATATGCTCCTGGGATACTGTAGACACAGAATAAGGAAGCCATTAAGAGTATTACCTGAATATCACCAACTCCCAATTCTCTGTTCACATCATATCTCATAATGAAGTCGCCCAGAACTCCATTCTCAGCTATTGCAACTTGCTGGCTAATTGTTGGGGCAAATTTGATGTGGGCTGTTGTTCTGGTCTGGTTGATTTTGGTGGATGGTGGAGGTGAGGCTTAAACAGCACGGTGAAAAATACAGAAGAGTTAAGAATCGCTTTGTAACTTGAAATATGTATCTATATAACAGTAGCACAGTTTTAGAAAAGAAAATGAAAATTTGAACACAAACCAACAAATACCCAAATGTGCATATTCCAAAATGGGATCTCTCAATTCTCAATGCTTTTAATATCTTGAACAGTCATGATCATCATTTATCCTGATATCACAAAACGTGCAGGCAGTCACCCTTCTCTTAACAATAATTATTTTATGGAACTTATTAAACCTTATATATTCAAGGTATAATGTTAGGTCCAGATGAGGTAGAATTATATTTGCTTCATAGAACAAATTTTTGAGTTGCATTAAAGTGAAAATTTACCCTATCTAGTCAGTAGAACATAGTTTGTCAAATGATATAACTTTCAAATAAGACTACAAGTATGGCTATTTAGCCCACTGAATCTGCTCCAGCATTCAATGAGATCATGGTTGATCTGATAATCCTTAACTCCACTTTCCTTCTTTTTCCCTATAACTCTTGAAACCCTTACTGATCAAAAATCTATCTCAGAAACAGAAACAGAAATTGCTGGGAAAGCTCAGCAGGTCTGGCAGCATCGGTGGAGAGAAAGCAGAGCTAACGTGTAAGGTCCAGTGACCTTCTGTTCTGGAAAACTCCAACATTAACTCTGCTTTCTCTCTACCGATGCTGCCAGACCTGCTGAGCTTTCCCAGCAATTCTGTTTCTGTTTCTGATTTCCAGCATCCGCAGTTCTTTGGTTTTTCTGTCCATCTCAGTTGTGAATATACTTAACAATGCAGCCTTGACAGGCCTCTGCAACAAAGGATTCCACAGATCCACAACCCTCCTCATCTCTGTTTTAAATGGGCGACCCCTTATTATGCCCCTTGATCCTGCTGTTTGAAGGTTCTTCTTAAAATCTTAAAACTTCTTAGCTGTGAGGCTGCAACAATATTTTCTTAATTTTCCTGAAGATAACGAGAGTATTATTCCAGAGCCCATGTCTCCTCATCCATGTTGTTAGTCTACACATTAAGTTTTATCATCTCTGGTCAGTTATTTCACATTTCAGTCTCAAGTTAAAACTCTAGTTGGTACCAAAGATCTTGTTAAATCAGGATATGTGTGCATATTTAAAGTAGAAGGACTTTTGTGTCAGGGAAGATGGCTTTCACACCTCATGAAGCCGATGGCTCAATCAGCAGTGGGATCTTAACTGATCTCTCAAAAGCTAAACACATTTCAAATCAAATCCTTCCTCTCCCCCCATCTATTGAATGGGCAAGTAAATCCATTTCTCATTTACCATGTACACATTATTGAAAACATAGTTTCTGAATTGTACATGACTAGACTGTTTATGAGGTACACAACAAACTGGTGAAATCAAGAATTATTGGATTAAAACTTGAAATTCTAAAAGATAAATCAAGTGCATTAGAAAAGGATGAATCCGTGTTTATATGTTGTCTTCTATCTCTTGGGAAATTCCCAATTACTCTGAAATGTCATTGCTGTTTCTATGAAAGGTCAATGAGATATGTATTTAACTGGTCTTGGCTCAGCCTTTCATGAACATTCACATCTGGGACCCAACAGCAGGCGTTCTGTTATTTCCAGTAATGTATATAAAATGCAAATTATTTTCTTTTCTCTTGTTGATGAGAAGAATTTGACTTTACAATTAAAATGGAGATAAATACCGCTAACATAAACAGCTTGATTGTAGGATTGAAGAAATCATAGATAACAAAGAAGACTGGGTAATTAACCTGCATTGTTGTCAGTTCATTTACCATGCTTAAATGCACTTGTACCAAATGCAGACAGCCTTTGCACCATTATCCCAGGTACAATTATAGCTTATAACAATTATACATCCTCCCTCCATGTTCGTTACCCTCTCCCCACACCCCTATGTCCTATATTGTACGGGTTTCTCCCAACACAGCCAACTCTTTTTCAATCATTTACTCTGTTCTTTAGCACCCACCCAGCATTTCTCTCTCTCTCTTATCATCAGCAATCTCTTTGTTTACCTCTTTCTTTTTTCCTCTTTCTTGCTGTGGGTCCCATCTTCATGTACTCTATTCATTTCCCCCACCCTGGCATCAGCATAAATACCACTCTTACCAGCTATTTTCAATTTTACAAAGTGTCACTGAACTCAAAATGTTAACTCTGTTTTTATCGTTACGATGCTACCAGGCCTGCTGAGTTTCTCCGGCAACTTCTATTTTTGCTTGACAATTATAGCTTTAGATGTAATTGATGTTATCTGTTTTCAGTTTAAGAAAAGAAGCAGATAGCAAAGCTGAAGAATGACATGCACTGAAGTGAATGGAATGAAATGCAAGCACAAGGACAGGACAGGTCCCATGCTCTTTCCAATAGGCTGTACAAAATTTAAACCATCATCCACACTTCCAAATGTATCTCACTTTTTTATTTTAATTGATTGATTTATTGTTGTCACATGTACGGAGATACAGTGAAAAGTGTTGTTTTGCGAGCTATACAGATTGTACCATACAAAGCGCATCGGGGAACAGAACAGAGTGCAGAATATAATGTTACTGTGCAGGGAAGGTGCAGAGAGAGAGCATTAATATTTGAAAGGTTCATTCAAAGGGCTGATAACAGCGTGGAAGAAGCTGTTCTTGAATCTGTTTGCACGTGTATTCAAACTTATATATGTTCTGTTCAATGGAAGAGAGTGGAAGAGAGTATAACCAGGGTGGGAGGGGTCTTTGATTAGGTTGCTTGCATTGACGAGGCAATGGGAGGTATATCTGGAAGTCAGTGGATGGAAGGCTGGTTTGCATGATGGCCTGGGCTGTGTTCACGACTCTGTGTAGTTTCTTGTGATCTTGAGAAGAGCAGTTGCCATACCATGCTTTGATGCATCCAGATAAAATGCTTTCTATGGTGCATCTATAACAATTGATAAGAGTCCTTAGGGATATGCTAAATTTCCTTAGCCACCTGAGGAAGCAGAGAATTCATTCATGGATTGTGGGCATCACTGGCCAAATCAACATTTATAGCCATGGAGGTGTTTGATAATTTGGAGTGGCTTACTTGACCATTTCAGAGGGCAGTAAAGAACCAATCACAATGCTGTGGGTCTGAAGTCACATGTACGACATGTCCTTCCTTAAAGAGCATTAGTGAGCTAAATGCTTTTTATTAATTGACAATTGACAGCAGTTACACGGTGGCCATCTGGCATGGCTTTACATTCCAGGTCTTATTGAATTCAAATTTTACCACCTGCCGTGTTGGGGTGCAAAGCTTTGTCCAAAGAACATTAGTCTTAGCCTTTGGATTACTAGTCCACTGGACAACAAAACACTATGTGTTTCCTAAATGTCTAGAGGTGAATATGAAAAAGTCACTGTTCTGGTTAAAACATATTGAGTCTCTTGTTCATCTTACTGTTTGAATGAAGGAGAAAGACTGATTACTTCAAAGTAATTCTATTGTTTATTCTCCAAAATATAGTACCAAAAGGAGGTGCCAAAAACTGAGAAAAGGAAAGGGAAGAGGAACTGTGAGGAATATGTTTAACCACTGAGGGCCATCTATTAACTAGCTCTCGTGTTAAAGAATAATGAGTACTTGAAACAGAAAATAATGTTCACAAGAACAAGCAAACTTAAAATCAGATAAATAATTCAGCATCCTTACGCAGTGCCTGACTACCTCAATAACTGAATCTTCCTTCTGATGATCTTAACACTACCTTGCTAACTCCATTGTAGATTACAAATTTATTACCATCTGAATAACCCTGAACCACTTTTCTGAACAATGTACATGTAAGTCACTTCTAAAGATATTAATTGATGCAAAATGAGTTACATTTTCTGGTACAGTACTCTATTTAGTTAACTGTAATACTGTTAAATGAGATCAGATAGTTATCTATAATTTCCTATTATCTTTCTATTTTCTGTTTGAATTGTATTTGAATATTAGACCACTTACATACATTTCAATCTTTATTATCCATGGTGTAAAGATAAACTACTCAGTACCTGCCAATCTACAACAAAAAAATGTTTTTTTTAAAGGAAGTGGGCTATTAAGGGTTGGCTGACAAAATGAATATTGCAACTAACCATCTAGATTTCTAGACAGCAAGAAATTGCATTCACTTAGCATCTTTCACATCGCTAGAATCCTTCAAAATGCTTTGTAGCCAATGAATTGCTTCTGAAATGAAATTTCTGGTATAAGGTAAGAATATGCTACCAATTTGCATACAGCAAAATCTGAGCAACAAGGTGCTGACAAATTAAATGTATTTTAAGTGGCGTAAGTTGAAGAATATTCCCTGAGGTATCTCACCTACTCTTGGTTGAATACTGCTGTGAGATCGTTTGCATTCATTTAAGCGTGTGGACAGGGCTTCAGCTTAATGTGCCACCTGTGATACAGCACCTCCAACAGTGCAGAACTCCCTCATTATTGCACTGATGCATCAAGCTCAATGATGGTTTCCAAGACAAAGTAATTCATCTCTGAAATCCACATACAGTGTCTCAGACATATGTCCAATGACACTCAATGAACACCGACCCTCAGGCTTCATCAACACAAAACCAATGAGCTGCAGACATAAATGAGACTAGTTGAACCTTCAAAGTACTGGCTACATTGGATGCTGAGCCAACATAAAGGTCCCTGCGTGGTACTGCAAGAGTGCAGTGGGTTCAGGGTAAGTTACTGGCTCTGTGCCTCACACGATATATTTTCCTTTGAGTTAAGATGTACCATTCAGAGAAATAGCAGTCAAAGTGTTGCTGAGCATTAGCATGCTGACAATCAAAAGAGATTAAATACTCAGAGAAACAGGTTTGCAGTCATTCCTATTTGCTTTTACTTTGTTATATCAACCAATATTGCATAGCAAAAAAGAGGGAAATTAACAGAGCTGCACTGTCCCCAGTTCTCCTTGGCAACTGACATTTAGGGGTGTCCACTGCATACTCTACTGCATTCCAAGAGCAAGCTTAGCTTCTTGAAGGACATGGAAAACAAATCCTTATTTTTCCATTAGAGATAGTATGAACTGCCGATGCTGGAGAATCTGAGATAACAAGGTGTAGAGCTGGATGAACACAGCAGGCCAGGCAGCATCAAAGGAGCAGGAAAGCTAACGATTTCGGGTCTGGACCCTTCTTCAGAAATGGGGGAGGGAAGGGGACTCTGAAATAAATCGAGAGAGAGCGGGGAGGCGGGGAGGCGAGGATGCAAGGTGGAAAAGGAGCAGATAGGTGGAGAGAAGACGGACAGGTCAAGGAGGCGGGAATGGAGCCAGTAAAGGGGAGTGTAGCTAGGGAGTTGGGATGGGGATTGGTCAGTTGAGGGAAGACGGACAGGTCAAGGAGGCGGGGATGAGGCTAGTAGGTAGGTAGTGGGGGTTGGTCAGTGAGGTGGGAGGAGCAGATAGGTGGGAGAAAAGACGGACAGGTCAAGGAGACGGGGATGAGCTGGTTTTGGGATGCGGTCGGGGGAGGGGAGATTTTGAAGCTTGCGAAGTCCACACTGATACCATTGGGCTGCAGGGTTCCCAAGCAAAGTATGAGGTGCTGTTCCTGCAACCTTCGGGTGGCATCGTTGTGGCACTGGAGGAGGCCCATGACGGACATGTCGTCCAAGGAGTGGTTCGTGACAAGATGATCAGAGGATTAGATAGGGTGGACAGTGGGAGCCTTTTTCCTCGGATGGTGATGGCTAGCACGAGGGGACATAGCTTTAAGTTGAGGGGTGATAGATATAGGACAGATGTCAGAGGTAGGTTCTTTACTCGGAGAGTAGTAAGGGCGTGGAATGCCCTGCCTGCAAAAATAGTAGACTCGCCCACTTTAAGGGCATTTAAATGGTCATTGGATAAACATATGGATGATAATGGAATAGTTTAGGTTAGATGGGCTTCAGATTGGTTTCACAGGTCGGCGCAACATCGAGGGCCGAAGGGCCTGTACTGCGCTGTAATGTTCTATGTTCTATGTTCTATGACTGGGAGGTGCAGTCGTTTGTCACGAACCGAGCGTAGGTGTTCCACGAAGTGGTCTCCAAACCTCTGCTTGGTTTCCCCGATGTAGAGGAGGCCACATCGGGAACAGCGGATACAATAATCTGCTACCACATTAGCAGATATGCAGGTGAACATCTGTTTCATGAGGAAGGTTTTCTTGGGGCCTGGGATGGGGGTGAGGGGGAGGTATAGGGGTAGGTGTAGCACTTCCTGTGGTTGCAGGGAGAAGTGCCAGGCATGGTGGGGCAAGTGGGGAGTGTGGAGCATACGAGGGAGTCACGGAGAGAGCGGTCCCTCCGGCAGGCACATAAGGGTGGGGAGGGAAAAATGTCCTTGGTAGTGGGGTCCGATTGCAGGTGGCAGAAGTGGCAGAGGATGATGCGTTGAATCCGGAGGTTGTTGGGGTGATACGTGAGGACGAGGGGGATTCTGTCTTATTTTTCCATTGTCTGGTTGAAAGCTAGTCCAAGTGATAGCACCACAACCTCCATCCCAGGTAGGGCAAGGCAGCTGGTCCCACATCCACCCCACCCATAACCAGAATCGTATCCATGCTGTTCACACCAGTATGATCCACGCTGACCATCCCCCCCATTAAGAAGTCCATGTGGGTGTTTTACTGCACATTGTAAACTGGAGTATGAATAGCAATGGTAAAGATTTGAACATTTTTCCACCACACAGCAGACCAGGAATCTCTCCCACACTTACCACTTGCCAGTGGCAGGTGATGGAAGGAGTTACAAGTCTACACTCATTCTATTTGGTTGTGTCATGAACACACCTTCCTCGGCCATTAAGCCCTGGATTGAGACCCAAACCCAGAGTTTCTAGTTCAATGGCAAACCCAATACCCACTGCACCACAGGATCTCAACAGGAAACAGCAGGGAGAATAACATGACAGAATAAGAAACCTACTAAATACAGTTTTTAGAAAGTATGATAGCAGCTAGATGTTTCTGACATTGTGGTAAAATGCAATAATAAAACTGAATTTGAATTTAATTCTAATACTTAAGACCATCACTTAACAAAAGTTAAGTGATGTTAAGCATCACTTAACAGAAGTTCATTGCAAACCTATCACTGAGATGTAAATATCCCTCCTTAATTCTCTGTACCTTCAAGGCCTTGACTGATCTGCTTGCTGTTTCCTAGGAGTGCAACTTCCAGCAAAGTGATCCCAGAAGGTTCTGTCAAGTGGATCTCCACCAGGAGTTTCAGAATGACCCGCATGGGCCTGACACTGATCACATGTGTGTACTGTCCTAGACGTCTCTCCAACAGCTCTTCATAAGTCAGCAGAAACAGTCCTTTGGTCCTTGCAGGCAAACTTACAGTAACAGTGAAAGTTTCCACCTTATTGTTCCTGTGTCAGGGAACAAAAGAGTATATGTTAGCATGGTCTACGTTCTGAGCCTTGCATTGTTTTGTTGCATTGGAGTATGAAATGATTAATAATTTTGCTTGAAGACTACAGAGATTATCTTGTGTTATCATGCCAGTAGATATCATAATCCCAATAATTTACAGTGTAATTGTACAAACCAAATAACAATCAGTATTTTTTGTGTATTAATGATTTCTAGACTAACCATTGATCTGGGATAATTCCATTGTTAGCAGAATCTACAGGATCACTGTAGCTTTAGAGACAGAATTACAGCTAAGACGTTAACGCCAATTGTCGGATAAATGACAGAGCACAATTAGAATTTTAAAAAAATAAACAGGAAAGGATCAAAGCAACAGCCAACACTGCATTTGTCAATGGGATAAAAAGTCACACTATACAAACTTGGCTAAATCCAGCCAAATGCAAGGTTTAGCCTGAATTATTTCACATTAGATTTTATTACTTTATGCCTCTCCTGAGTCGTTAGCACTGCTGCCTCACAGTGCCAGGGACCCAGGTTCAGTTCCAGCCTTGGGTGGATGTCTGTGTGAAGTTTGCACATTCTCCCTCTGACTGCGTGGATTTCCTCTGGGTGCTCTGGTTTCTTTCCACTGTCCAAAGATATGCAGGTTAGGTGGATTGGCCATGCTGAATTGGCCATAGTGTCCAGGGATGTCCAGGCTATGTGGATTAGCCGTGGGGAATGCAGAGGTACGAGGATAGGGTACGCGAGGGGAGTCTGGGTGAGATGCTCTTTGGAGGATTGGTATGGACTCGACAGGCCGAATGGCCTAGTTCCACACTGTAGGGATTCTATATATGAAAGTGATTCTATGAAGACTGGCTGGGTGCCTTTGCGTCTTTCCCAGCCCATTGCTAATACCTCAACTAAATGGCCTCAACCGCATGAGTTGATAAGCTTTCTGGGCATGTTCGACTGTTTCACAATTTATTTAGACCTCGCTTGACATAGCTCCTCCTGCCACACACCCGAGACCTGGAGCTTTCCCAGCCTCTATGACTGGGCCACCCACTGGATGAACTCACTCAGCCAGTGAGAAAGCTCACGCCCTGTTTTAAAGTGACAGGTCACTGATCAGCCACAGGACGTTGATGAGTTGCTGAGTGATCATACAGTGATCTGCTTCTCCATGAGCCAGGACTGTGACAAATGTTCTCTCAGGGAGTGGATATTCTCATGGGTTTGAAACTCGAGTGAGTGAGGATTGTGTTGCAGCTGCTCTGTACAGCACTAGGCCCAATAAAAATGTCTTTTTATCAGCTGTGCTGTTTTACCGCTTTAAAAAAAAAGTATTATTTGTGAGGCACTATGTTGGGAATATGGAATGTATAAGAAATGCAAGGAGGGCGTGGAGCGTCCTTTCAGAATAAGGGCTGCACCGAACTTAAAACATAGATCTTCACAAAGTCAAAAAAGATTCTCATTTAGGATTATAACCCCTTTTGTATTGTTAGCAAGCACAGAAGCAATAACTTGACCTGCTTTAGGTCTCCCACCCCTCCGAATGAACACAAGATAAATCAGTTTGCGAAATAGATAAATACTCACAGTCCCTCACAGATGTGGAAGAAAAGATGGGTAGAGTGTGATGGGTAAAGATAGGTGCAGTGTAGAGACAGAAATCACAGACACCGTCCTGCTCCTGGTCCCCACCCACTGACACGAGGTCAGGGGGCCCACTATAGCCCCTGGCATTAGACCCTAGTGTACCCCCTGTCCTAGAACCTGACCACTTGCACTGACAGTAACCAAACCTCCCTCCAACCTTTCCTCTCTCAATTGTTCTAAGCACCGACTATGCAATCGTTCACTATAGTTTTTTTTTGTTCATTCATAGGATATAGACGTTGCTGGCGAGGCCAGCATTTTTGCCTAATTGCCCAGAGGGCAGTTAAGAGTCAACAACATTGCTGTGGGCCTGGAGTCACATGCAGGCCAGACCAGGTGAGAATGGAAGATTTCCTTTTCTAAAGTACATTCATAAACCAGATAGGTTTTTTGCAATTATCGACTGTAATCACATGGTCATCTAGCTTTTAATTCCAGACTTTTATTGAATTCAAATTTGACCATCTGCCATGGTAGGATTTAAACTGATGTCCCCAGAACATTACCCTTAGGCTCTGGATTACTAGTCCTGTGACATACACCACTACACTACCACTGTCTCCCTATCAAGATTCATAAAAATAGGAATCATACAATCCCTCCCTACAGGCCATTTGGCCCATCAAGTCCACACTGACCCTCCAAAAAGCATCCCAGCCAGACTCAACCCCACATTTCCCATGGCTAATGCACCTAGCCTGCACATCCCTGGATACTATGGGCAATTTACTGAGCATGGCCAATCCACCTAACCTGCACATCTTTGGATGGTTGGATGGAAACCAAAGTACCCAGAGGCAGACACAGGAAGAATATGCAAACTTCACACAGACAGTCACCTAGAATTGAACCTGGGTCCCTAGCACTGTGAGGCAGCAGTGTTAACCACTGAGCCACCATGCTACCTATATAGTGACTCATCATAATGCTTCTAATCAAACACATTCCATTCCATCAAAACTATGAAATGTTCTAGCTCCTTCAATCTTCCCTTCCTCTGAAATACCACAAGATTTAAATATCCAAGAGATAGTAGGAACTGCTGATGCTGGAGTCTGAGATAACAAGGTGTAGAGCTGGATGAACACAGCAGGCCAGGCAGCATCAGAGGAGCAGGAAGGCTGACGTTTCGGGTCTGGACCCTTCTTCAGAAATGGGCAAGCTTGGCACCTTCACATCATTATTTCACCACTTACTCTGTCCTCTGGCAAATTAAAGAAATACAAGCTGACTGGAATTTTTTAAGATAACAAGGTGTAGAGCTGGATGAACACAGCAGGCCAAGCAGCATCAGAGGAGCAGGAAGGCTGACGTTTCGGGCCTAGACCCTTCTTCAGAAAACTGTATTTCGTTACATGTGACAACAAAAGATCAATCCTGCATACATGCATGGAAAAGATCCCATGCTACAGTCTTAAAGAAAAGCAGGGGAGTTATCTTCCATGTTCTTGCTGGTACTTACCTCTCAAATCACTGAAACAGATGAGCTGATCATTACCATGGTATTAAAAATATTCATGATAAAATAAAACGCTGGAAGGATGTAGGTGTTAGTCTGTAATGCTGACACAACAAATGCAGAAACAGAGAAAAACAAATAAAACTCCCTGAACTTTCTGTTTAAAAAGGAGTACAAAGTTCTGAGGGGTACAGATAGGATTGATATGGACAGACCCCTTTTGCAAAGGGGTCAATAAGCAGAGGGAACAATGTTAAGGTACGGAACAGGAGTGTTAGAGGGAGTTTGAGGCAAAAGTTAGGAATCTGGAACTCAAGGCCTAAAACAATGGTTGAGGCAGGAACTCTCAAGATATTTAAGAAACATTTAGATGAGCATTTGAAACACCATAACATACAAGGTTATGGACCAAGTGCTAGAAAATGGGATTGGAATAGACTGATGCTTGATGACCAGCACAGACAAGATGGGCCAAAGGGCCTTTATCCTTCCTGTAGAAACCCTATGACTCTAATTGCAATTTTCACATAGGATAGACAAGGCTCACCAATTGGTTTCTCTTTCTCTGTACCTACGTACAATGAGGATTTGTTCTCATCCCCTCCATCTTAGTAGCCCATCTGTGATTGGCAATTCACCACAAGGGAACCACAGGGGCAAGACCAGAATGTGTCGGAGGAGTTTATTCATCCTCCACATTGGGTTCCAATCCTTCACATGGTGACTACGGTTGTCTCTTCTACCATGTTTTTGAAGGTGAGAACAATTATTTCGAATTCTGACATGCTGCTCATACAATTATATAAAACTAATAGCTCAGTAAACCATCAGCATTACACGAAGAACAAGGTTCATAGTTTCTTGAAAGTGGAGTTGCAAATAGACAGGGCGGTGAAGAAGCTGTTTGGTACGCTTGCCTTTATTGGTCAGTGCATTGAGTATAGAAGTTGGGAGGTCATATTCTGGCTGTACAGGAAATTGGTCAGGCACTTTTGGAATACAGCGTTCACTTCTGGTCTCCCCGCTATAGAAAAAATGTTGTGAAACTTGGAAGGGTTCAAAAAAGATTTACAAGGATGTTGCCAGGGTTGGAGGTTTTGAGCTATAAGGAGAGGCTGAATAGGCTGGGGCAATTTTCCCTGGAGCATTGAAGGCTGAGGGGTGACCTTATAGAAGTTTATAAAATCATGAGGGGCAAGAATAGGGTAAATAGACAATGTCTGATCCCCAGGGTGGGGGAGTCCAAAACTAGAGGGCATAGGTTTAATGTGAGAAGGGAAAGGTTTAAAAGGGACCTCAGCGGCAACTTTTCACTCAGAGGGTGGTGCGTGTATGGAATGAGCTGCCAAAGGAAGTGGTGAAGGCTGGTACAATTACAACCTTTAAAAGGCATCTGGATGAGTACATGAAGAGGAAGGGTTTAGAGGGATATGGGCCAAATGCTGGCAAATGGGACCAGATTCATTAAGGATTTTTGGTCAGCATAGATGAGTTGGACCGAAACGTCTGTTTCCGTGCTGTACATCTCTATGATTCTATGGCTCTAAGTGTAAAATACACATTAGTTAATCAGTATCTGCTTGAAACTTTCAAGTCCTGCATTATATGTTTTTTTTTTAAAATATGAGTGTAAGTAAATGAAAAATTTAACACTTACTTGTTATTTTTCCCTGAATGTTCTTTTATTTTGTCTTTGGAATTCTTTGCTTTGGTCATCACCTTACTCTGATGTACTTTTTTGCCAATTATCCTGGGCAGAAACAAAAAGGACAGACTGAACGATTATTAAATCACAGCAAAGTCCATTCATTGTTTTCTGGGACTTTGTTTCTACACTCCACAATTGAATGACTACCGGAGCAGGACAGAGAGCCTAAGTGGGCCTTTTGGCGCAACAAGCCCAAGATGGGAAACGTTTCATCACACGCTGCCAGATATTCTTTTAGTTCCACTTTGTAACTCTCTTCAAAGGAGAGAAACTTTGTACAAAGTTCTCACGCATGGATTGCCACTTGAGCTTATCTCACCATTAAACCTTTGCAACAATAATTTTTCCTTAACTTAAAGCTATGGAAATCACATTGGGGATCTCAGTGCTCGTTCTCAAGAATAATAATTGAACAAGAAATAATTGCTATCCGTACATTTATTAATCAGACGAGTGCGGCTCCAACAACACACAAAACTCTGGCCAAAATCCAGAACTTAGTGGCCCACTTGATTGGCACCTCATCCACCAACTTAAAATTCCATCACTGACACAGTACCAGAGTGTTTCACCTACACGCAGCACTGCAGCATTTTGCTACATCTCCAGGACAGGAGCTTCCAAACATGCTACCTCCACCTCCCCAAAGAACAAGATCAGCAGGAACAGCACCACCTGCAGGATCCCCTCCAAACCTCACATCATCCTGGTTTGTTGTTCTTCCTTCACTGTTGCAGAGTTAAAATCCCAGGATTCCCTTCTGAGTGCCAGTGGTGGTCAGAACCCATGAAAAGAATTAAAATGCAATCCACGTCCTTCCTCTGTCTTAATAAAGTATACATAAATATGCAGAATGACGGGCAGTATTAAATGGGTTCCTTGCAAGAGTTCTCCATTCTGAGTGAACCATGATCTCTCATACTGAGATAGGTTGATTGACTGGCAGATATTTCATTCAAGCTTTTGAGTGTCAGAATATCTGTTGCATTGAATTAGGGTCAAAGATGGGTTTCTCTTTATAATCGCTCTTTATTTTTAGCCAAAATTTTCATTTTGACTGCTATTGGGACATAGTGTGTTAAATGCCATTAAATTTCCATCTAAGAATAGAACAGGATGGGTCCCATTCAGGTCAAATAGTTTTGGAATGCTGTGACAGGTCTTTCTAAATCCCTCAATGATCCATACAGAGCTGTAAGTAAATACAGACCACACAAAATTGGTAGAAATTGCAAATAATTCTGACCTGAATTGGGACCTACTGTCAGTCATTAAAAAAATACGGGATTGAGCTAAGTATCCAGCCAGTCTTTATTATCCCACTATTTCCTCCCAATTAACATCTGGGACTAACAATGCCAGGATACATTATAGCAGTAACAGTTACACTCTGGGGAAATGTAATCTTCCTGCAATCACAACAGATTAGTATCTTTTTTCTTTGCTTGTGAAACCAAAATGGTGGATTTCCAGAAGCTGACAGTGCGTGCAGAAATATAAATAAAAGGTCTATCTTATTTAGTTGGAAAGAATTTTGTTGGTTCACTTGGCCCCTATTGAGATGGGACAACTTTGCATCGAAATGTCTCAACTCAATGTTGAAGGTCTTTCACCGATAAATCTGCTTTGTGTCCTTAATGAAAACCAGTTTCAGTTAGTATATCTAAAATAAGACAAGAATTACAAATCTTCTGCACCACTCAAAACTATAAGCTTGAATTTACTGTTACGATAACAATAAGGTTAAATGAGCTAGTCATTACTGACATATAAATATTGAAATTCAAATGAGAAGCAGATATGTGGCTCAATGCACGTTGTTAAAATGTGGAGGTGTCGGTGTTGGACTGGGGTGGACAAGGTCAGAAATCATACAACACCAGGTTATAGTCCAACAGGTTTATTTGAAAACACAAGCTTTCGGAGCCTCACTCCTTCTTCAGGTGACAGAAGGAGTAAAGTTCCGAAAGCTTGTGTTTTCAGATAATCCTGTTGGACTATAATCTGGTGTTGTATGATTTCTGTCCATGTTGTCAAAGGTTGCTGTCCCCTATAAAGTTTGCGAAGAGCCAAATCTCTCTGCCTGCCACACCATTGAAATGCATTGAATACCGTAAAATTGCTTGATTTGTCCACAAGATATATGAGCTAAACTCATCACAGCTAGTAATTGAGAGTGCAAGTATTAATAATGTAATTATTGTTAATTACTGCCAATCAAACTCACTCACTGACACTGAAGATTAGCTATTACAAGTGTGGCGTCTCAGAATTTTCATGGAGATTTCAGAATTTCTAAAATGTTTTCTCACTTTTTTTTATCTTTCTGAATCTAATCTAATCTTTTCCTCCTTTTGCTTCTCTTTCTGCACCTTATTTAATATTGAATTCAGTGTAATTCAAACTCCCCTGTTTTCTGCTTTTAGTTCCAAGTCCTCTAATTTGAATTGATGACGAAAGTACCCTGATGTTTACTCGGTTTCCCTCACTGTGGTGTTTTCTACTCATATTCCTCAAGACTTAGTGGGCAAAAATGTTTCAAGATGAAGGGTGTAACGGCCCTGTTAGGGCAAAATCTCACTCAGAACATCACCGATCATTCAGACAAAACTACTGCAGAACCTCAAAAATTGCAACCACAGACAAATGCAATCAGGTTACCCACATTGTGAAATTAGAAATGAAGGCACGAGCTGGAATCTGTATCTGGAAAACTGCATCTTTGGGCCGAAATGCTCGATTGACCATAGTGGAGGAAACAGCTGTGAACGCATAGCGAGAAAAGATAGTGGATTTCACTATGAAATCTGTCATGTGGGGTTTACTGTCCTGCAAAAGAGAGAAACCACAAAAGCAAAGCTTTAGTACCCTGACACATCCTGAACAGAAATATAACATTCTGTTAATTTTCTGATGTGCTGGAAGTTGGTAATCCTTAAGGAATCAAGATGGTTATTCAGGTGTTTTTTTTGTGCCACCTCCTACTTTAATTCAGGTCTACTTTACCAATAATCATCAGCTTCTCTTTACAAGTGTTGATGGATGTAAAATATTAAAAAAACATATTCACAATTTTGTGAGCATTTTCCTCATCTCTAGCCTGATCTGCAGCTTGCGGATGCTGTTTTGATCTAAATATTCACATGGCAATTTAAGATAAAGATTGTGTTTCTATTTTCCTTTATGGTATTTAAAGACCAAGATTAAATGTGTTCATTTAAACATGTCGAATTGCTACTACTGATGCTTGCTAGAGTTCTAGCTGTAGGTTTCAACAGTTTCTTTGTGTTACAGTGAAGTCCATCAGAAAACATATAAAAATGAGTATCCATCGCGTCGCACCTTCACTGTGAGGTGGAATAGAGAAAGTAATAATAAATTAAATAGCTCTCACCTTCATTATCAAGTTAGAGACAAAAAGCTGAATGAACTGACTCAGATCTCACCTTCAGCCTGAGGTGGTCTGTAGTAAAGAGCAAGCAAAGCTTTTTAGCTCAACAGAAGCAGATGCATATTTTTCTTAACTCAGAATGGTTCTGACAGTGGGATCTAACAAGTAGAATATAACAACTTTGCCAGCTTTCAAAATTAATAATTTTGGCGAAGAGATTTAACTACGAAAATGAAATGCTGACAAATGCTTGCAACAGAACAATTAATATTACTGTAAGAGGCATGACTTTATATTGTGATTTACTTCTACATTACTGGCAATGATTATGCAATTCTCATGAATGGGTTTCAGCCCATTTGAGTCTATTATACAATTTGAATATACTTAAGGAGCTCATCAATTAGATATCACCAAAAAGAGATATAAATCTAATCATTGGAACTTTACACAAAGGTGAGTTATTTTATCCGGGCTGATTTTTATGACTGCAGAACCTGTACCCAAAAGAGTTTTGAAATATGTAGGAAATTCTCTATAAAGCTAAAATAATGCAACTGCCTTTAATTTGCAAACACGTTAAATATTAAGCAAATATCAATAGTAAACATTGTCAAATGAGCATACTGAAGATTGAGAGATGACTTCATCGAAATGTATCAAAACTTTTGACTGATGTCTGAAAACTCTTTGCTTTGTGGGGATCTAGAACAAAAATTAAAGCTGAAGCATTTCAGAGCAAAATCTGACATTTCTTTTACACAAAGGGCAATGAAAATCTGGAGACATTTTCCCAATAGGCTGTGGATGTTACAGCAACAATTAGAATGTTCAAAATCAATTGTTTTTGTCAGTAAAGCACATTGAGGCATATGAGACCAAGCATTGTAAACAGAATTCAGTCATGATCTAGTGGAATGTCAAAGCAAGCTTGAGTACCTACTCCTGTTCAGTATGTTCCTATTAGAATAGATGTTTATTTACTGTTGAAATTAATTTGCTTTTCACACTAATTGCCATATTGCTTTTTCCTCTCAATGAACAGGTTGCGTCACATTGAATTCTGTATTCAGAATTGAATGGTTTATATATTCATGTCAGTAACTTTGATATTTAACCACTAGGTCCTGCAAAAGAATGGTATACATCTAGGAACAAAGGCAAAAGGTTTGCTTTTACAGGCACTTCATAAAAATATCTGCAACTTTAAAGTATGCAGTGACTTTGTTATGTGATCAGCTATTTGCACACAACAGAATGTAACATCAGCAATAAAATATTGGCTAGTTAATGTTTTCTGAGGAAAGATTTTTGGACAAGAAAATAGGTTAGCCTTCTCCTCTTCTCTGAATAATGTCATGGGACTGTGTGTTCAGTAAAACATGCAGTGGTTTCAGTTGGACACTTGATAAATACCCTTGTGACTGGGACTGAGTGTCAGTCTAGATTAAATACTCAAATCCAAAAACTTAAAACTATGACTTTCTGACTCAGAAGCAAGAATATTACGAAATATTACAGCAGTAAACTGGATAAATACCTGGAAGGGAAACATTTGCATGGCTCTGAGGAAAGTGTAGGATATGTGGATGAATTGAACAGCTCATTCAAAGAGGTAGGATGGGCCAAATGACTGTCTATAAAGGTGACTTAAGGAATCTTATTTTAGGAAGTATGTTAAAGCCCTGAAGAGACTGCAAAAGAGATCTACTAGGAATAATACCTTGAATGAGGGATTTTAAACACAAGAAAAGACTAGAGATATTAGACTTATTCTTCTTGGGCAGAGAAAATTAACAGGTGACATTATTGAGGTGTTCAAAATTAAGAACATTTCTGACAGGATAAAGAAGGATATTCTGTTTCCACTAGTTGGTATGTTAGTAACTAGGAGTCAAATGTCAAGGTTGTCAGCAAGATAGCTAGGAGTGAGATGAGGAGAAAATTCTTTACTCAGAGAGTTGTTAGGATTCGGAATGTGTTACCTGGGAGGCAGATTCCATGGAGAGCTGGATGTATATTTGAAAGTGACGAATTTAGAGCATTGTGGGAGAGTAGGACCAACTGGGCAGCTCTTTTGGGAGCTAGTACAGACGCAATGAACTGAGTGGCCTCCTTCCATACTGCAAAATTCAACGATTCTATATCAATATCACCACATATATATTATGTATAACTACTATATATCTGCAATGGGATTTTGTGTACCCCTTTGTCGTTAAAATGAAAATATATTCAAAACAAATGTCATGGAAATGCAAATATTTCAATCTGCATTCTTTGTGAGAAATGAATGAACCTTGTGATGCCCCTATGACTTTACATGTCTTTCTATTATTATAGTCTCATAGCTATTTACAACACAGAAGGAGGCCCTTCAGGCCATCTTATCCATGACAGTCAACAAAGATCTGGCTACACTCATCTCATTTTCCAGCTTTTGACCCATAGTCCCACATGCTATGGCAACAGAAGTGCATATCTAAATAATGCTGAAATGTTATGAGAGTTTGAGTCAAACATGTTTTCAGGCAGTGAGTTCCAAACTCTCTCCACCCTCTGGGTGAAAAACATTCTCCTCAACTCTCCTCTTAGCCTTCTAGCTCTTTAGTTTATGGCCTTGACTACTCATCCCCTACTAATGGAAAAAGCACCTTCCTATCAACCTGATCGATGCCTCTCATAATTTTATACACCTCTACCAGGTGACCCTCAAACTACGCTGCTCCAGGGAAAATAATCCCAGCCCATCCAATCTTTCCACATTGCTCAAACTCTCCAGCTGAGGCAGCATCCTGGTAAATCTCCTCTGTACCTTCTCTAGTGCAATCACATCCTTCCTACAATGTTATGATGTTACACTGCTGGAAATCAAGACCTGCTATTCCCAGAATAATCACTAAAGTTAAATATTTTGTAGAACTACACAAAATTCACCCATTTACCTCTCTGTTTGGGCCCAAGTTAACAGTAAGCATAGACCAGGTTTCTGTATTTTACAAGAAATTGTTACAACTGAGTGGATTCTCCCTATAGGTGAACAATCAGGGCTTTCAAGAAACACCTGGATGAAGACATGAACAGGAAGGGAATAGAGGGATATGAATCCTGAAAATGAATTCAGTTTTAATATGGAAGAGCAAAATGTGTCAACGTAGGCTTGGAGGGCCGAAGGGCCTGTTCCTGTGCTGTGTTGTACTTTGTTATTCTTTGTTCTTTGTAATCATGATTCATTGACATATAAATCTTCTGATTAAAATGCTAACCCCATTATATGCACCTGCTACATGCACATGCAGACACAGGCACAAAAAAATGCATGGGTGTTATGGGCCAAGGGAAAGATTGGGAAGGCAGTTCAATGGTCCCTATTCACTGTGCGCACTGAGATAATCCTTTCTTGTCTATTTACTGCTCTATGGCCTTCCTTCTCCAAGTACTTTCACTTGTTTGAAGGAGGCACAGGGTAACTGATTCAGAACTTATAAAGTCTCTGACGTGTGGTTAAAAGCTACAGTTTTCAGCAACTGATGAGTGGATATAAACTGCCTTTCTTCAGGCTTCAGGTTTTTTTTTTCTAACTGCTCCTTCCTTTCTGGAGTTCTGATGGCTTCTGACCTAACATGCACACCCACAAGCTGATCAGCTCCCTGGAAACCAATCACAAAGTTGTTGTCAGGCTAAAGGTCCTTGTCAACAACAGAGGGTCACCATTCCCCAGACCAATCAGCCAAATGTTGCTGGCCAAATCTCCATTCATACACAGTCCTTGGCTCCTGCTCAACTGCAGACAGAATTCCCCAACATCTTGAACAAAGATTCAAGACTGACTGACCTGTAACTTCCTGGTATATTACTTCCTCCATACTTTAATAACAGTGGTAGCTGCCCTCCACGTTGGCCAGAGAGGATCTGAAGATTACTGCCGGGACCCCTGATATCTCCTCCTTTGCCTCCATCGAAAGCCTGACGTGCACCTCATTCAGGCCGGCAGATTTATCCACTTTTAAAGCTGCTGTACCCACCAGTGCCTCCTTTTCCTCCCTCCACTTAAAATGTTAATTTATTTTAATATTTCACAGTCCTCCACCCTGTTATCTATATTGTCATCGTTTTCCATTGTGAAGTCTGACATAAAATATTTATTGAGGACTGTGTCCATGTCTTCTGCATCCACACACAGAAAGACGGCATCACCAACAGGACAGCACTCCCTCAGTACTGTACTGGAGTGTCAGGCTCAATTTTTCACAACCTGTATCATCGAAACAAGTTATTGGCCATTCCTCTTATTTGCTATTTTCTGGGATCTTACTCTGCCAAAATGGCAACAGTTTACAATTGATTAATTCTCAGACCATGGGTATCACTGGAATAGGTGGCATTTGCTACCCAACCCTGTGGCTAGAGAGTGGTTGATGGTGAGCCACTTTCTTGAAATTTTGTAAGATACCTACTTTTACTGCTTTACACTCCTCTGAAATTTGATTATCCATTTTATCCTCTATCTTTCCCTGACTGTTTGGGAGCTCATAGTGCACACCCAACAATGTGTTTGTCCCTTTTGTGCTGTTTTACTTCTAGCCATATGGCTTCATTTGATGAACCCTCCAAGATATCCTTCCTCCTCACTGCTATGATTCATTCCAAGATCAATATTGTGATCCCATCTTCTATCCCTTCTCTATCTAGTTCAAATACCCTACAATCAGGGATGTTCAGCTGCCAATTCAGGCCATCTTTCAGCAAAATCTTGGTCATGGCCATGATATCATACTCCCACATGCCCATCTCTGCCCTCAGCTCATCTGTCGTATTCCTCAGGCTCCTTGCATTAAAATATATTCCATAATGCCTTGCTTCTTGTTGGAGCCTGAATTGGAAATAACGGACAATCTTGAGTTCTTGTACCATTGCTGATAACAATAGACATCAGCATAGAGACACCGGCATAGACAAATGCTCCAGATGTGAGGGAGTGGGGATCCTGTATTTATCCATCTAACAAAAAGACACAAGCTTGATTTTGTGATTTTGATTTGCCCTTGGCACAAAGGCTCTACAATGGTCCCATTACAGCTGTTCAAACCATGGTTCCACCTAACACAAGGAAATGTTTGTAGTGGTGGATATTTCTCAGATTCCAATTCAATGGAAATACTATGAAACATAAGGCAACCCATCAATAGTGTATGTTGGACAGATAGAAATTCTGTAGTGCTGCTTAATTTACTCCTGAGGCGAGGGAAAAACTTGGCAGAACTTTTCCTGACTAGGAGGAAAGGTTGGGTAAGAATTGAAGGATTGAGTGATATCAATCTCCAGAAGGAGCTAGTTTGGTGTTTTGTTTGATCTTGTTCCAGCTGTTCATATTTTGAATGATACAAGATCAGAATAACAATTCATAATTAACACAAGGAAAGACAGACTTCAAAGCACTTTTCACAACTACTGGATCTCTTCATGCACTTTATAACCAATAAAATGCCATCCATGTTGGAGTGCAGAAGACATGGCAACCAATTTGTTCAGGGCATGCTCCCACGAGCAGCTAATCTGTTCTATTGTAATATTTACTTAAATATAAAAATTGACCAGGGCATCAGGGGGATCTCTACTGCTCTTTGAATAAGTGGCAAGGAATCATTTACATCCATCAGTGCATGCAGATGAGGCATTGGTTTGAAAAATAGAATCTCTGACAATAAAGCATTTCCTCAGTACCCTACTGGAGTGTCAACTTTTCACAACCTGTACCACCAAAACAAGTTATTGGCCAGTCCTTTTATTTGCTCTTTCTGGGATCTTGTTCTACCAAGATGGCCACATTTTACAACTAAATAATGCTCAGACCATAGATATCACTGCAAAAGGCAGCACTTGCTACCCAACCCTGCTGTTAACAAGTGGTTGACAGTGAGCTGTCTCCTTGAACAGCTTGTGAGAGCCCCCTACTCTTCATTATAAACGATAATTTTCAATTATAGTTTAATAAAAACTGAAATGGAAGTTGGACTGATAGAATTGGAAAACCAGGGGAGTTTTATAATTTGAAAATCAAGTGTTGTATATTATTCAGCTGTGCAATAAAATATTGCTCTTTGGAAGCAGTAAGAGGGAGAATTTGAAGACTGAGCATCACCAAGAATCCTTCAAGTTGCAGAAATTCTGCTTGACAACAGCCCTCTGATTGGATGAGCTACAGAATTGAAAACCTGAAAGTGGCAAGAGCAGCAGAGAGGAAAAGAAACATCCAGAACCAGCGGACAGAAAACACCCATCCCTCCCTTGCTCTTTCCAGTTGGGATAAAGACAGAAAAACAAAGAAAGCTACAAAGAGATAATTCACACAAGAAATACGTAAATTCATGAGATTGACCATTGAATTAAAAGACAATGTCACCCTACTGACAACAGCATATCATCGTTGCAGAAATCAAAAACATTGAAAAAACAACTTGCTGCCTCCTGGGCTGGACTTCTGACCTTTGGGATTTCATTCATATTCTTTTCCCACTCGGTACATGTGTTAAACTGTTTATCTTTTGTCTGTCTTAATCATGATTGAGTATGTGAGCATGTTTGGGATTTTGCAAGGGTATAGTTTAAGTTGCATGAATTAGAAATCTTTCTTTCCAACTGCTCTTGTTAAACTTATGTGTGTAAAAGAAATGCTTATTTTCTGTTGCTGATGAAACCTAGTGTGAGTTACTTTTACCCTGACTATCAGTCAGCAGAGCAAATCGGTCATTTTGGTAATCTCATTTGGACATTATACCTTTTGTGACAGCTTGTGGAATAGTGGACACATGAGCATGTTTTCCAGTTAAATAATGACACATGGCAGTCTCTGTCATAATGGTGCTCCCTTCCTCGTTGGGTGGGGAATACTTGGACTTTTATTACCTGTGGTGCATGGGAACACAGTAGATAAAAGGTACTGAAGTGTTCAATCAGCCATGATCATGTTGAAATAGTAGGGCAGGCTCAATCACAGGATCATAGAATCCCTACAGTGTAGAAGTAGGCCATTTGGCCCATCAAGTCCACACTGACCCTCTGAACAGCACCCCACCCAGACCCACTCCCCTACCGCTGTAACCCTGAATTTCCCATGGCCAATCCACCTAACCTGCACATCTTTGGACTTTGGGAGGAAACCGGAGCACCCGAAGGAAACCCACGCAGACTTGGGGAGTATGTGCAAACTCCACACAGACAGTCTCCTGAGGCTGGAATAAAATTGGCTGAATGGCCCACTTGTCTTTCTATGTTTAACCCAATGACATGAAGGGACTGTGAAGTATGTCTAACCTTGCCTATGAAAAAGAATTCAACAATTGCACTTCCCTAAAACTCTTTGTTTTTATTCATTCATGGGATGAGGGCGTTGCTGGCTAGGTCAGCATTTATTGCCCATTCCTAATTGCCTAGAGGGCAGTTATGAGTCAATGACATTGCTGTGAGTCACATGTAGACTAGACCAGGTAAAGATGACAGTTTCCATCCCTAAAGGGCATGAGTGAACCAGATAGGTTTTTCCAACAATCAGCAATGGATTCATGGTCATCATTAGACTCTTAATTCCGGATATTTGAGTCATAGAGATCTACAGCAGAGAAAAAGGCCCTCCAGCCCATCATGTCCATGTCAATCAAAAACAAGCACCTAACTAGTCTAACCTCATTTTCCAGCATTTGGCCTATAGCCTTGAATGCCTTGGCATCACAAGTGCACATCTAAATCCTTCCTGAATGTTATGAGAGTTTCTGTTTCTTATCATCCTACAGACAGTGAGTTCCATATTCCCACCACCCTCTTGGTGAAAAAAAGTCTCAAATCCCTTGTAAACCTCCCAGCCCTTACCTTAAATCTATACCCCCGATCACTGATCCCTCTATTAAGGGGCAAAGTTTCTTCCCGTCTACCGTGTTTATCCCTCATAGTTTCATACATCTCAAGTCCAGGAGACTTCAATGCAACTGATTCCTGAACTGGCAGATGTCGATAGTCTCGAGAAACAGAAAGATGAAGGAACAGGCAAGGATACCTGGATACAGGTAAGGCAATATTCTGGCTGTTGTGGGCTCCTGCAGAACGGCTGGTGCAGATGTCTGAAAGTGCAAGGTCATCATTCTCACATTAAGCAGTTGCAAACCAGAGAGGGGCTCAGGTAAAAACACTCGGATCTGAGGGCAAGGACTGCAAACTCCAGCACAGCTCGGCAGATTTCTAAATTTAAAACCGCAAGAAGACAAACATAAAAACTTGGGTCACTTACCGATCTCTGCGACATGATGACCTGTCTCGGAACGCGTGGAAACTCCTTAAAGTAAAGTCACATGAGATCAGAACAAGCTTCATCGAGTCATTTTGTCAGCCTTTTCCGAGCGTTGTATAACTTTAACGAAACTTTTGCTGCCACAATTTATAAATGGCATCAGATATAAAAGTAAGAGAAACTACAAACTATAAACTTAACGTTAAGATTTAAACATTTACTGAGCGTTTTTATTTCCCATTGCTGATATTTGACTCAGCCCGTTGCTTTTAATTATTTCAGTAAATTCCCAGGACTTCAATGTTTAATGTAAATCCGGTTTAAATGCAAAATAAAAATCACTTACAGAACGAGAATCCAGGTCCAAGTAGTCGACATCACCCCTTAAATTCCAAAGCTCCTGTCCCCAAACGGCCAGAGAAAAGTAGAAGACCAGGAGAACGATCATTGCGCAGTTTCTGTGCTGCTGTTACTTTGTTATAATGACAGTGAGCACCTCCAGTCTGCACTGAGTCACTGTCCCGGGACTCAGTCCAGTTCACTCCCCGTGTTGAAAGGTACAATGCACAGTTTGTTTAAAATAAATGTGATCGCTTTTTAATGAGAAAAAAAAAGCTTGCAAAGATAATCTTGCAGGACTCTGGAAAAATGAGTAAAATGGATGTGTTCTGAAAGAAATTCCTAGTAGACTGGAGACGTTAACTCTGTTTCTCTCTGCCTGACCTGCCGAGGTTCTCCAGCATTTTATTTCGATTCTCCAGCATCCGCAGTATTTAGCTTTTATTTGGGATTGTTTCAAAGAGCTAGCACCGTCAGGATGGGCCAAGTGGCTACTTCTGTACTGTCTCATTCTTTGCTTGGTGCGCCCCCTCAGGAAGAATAGGAACATCTCCTATTTTGTCTCCTCGGAAACTGGAAGGACTAATGGAGGCTGAAGTGATATTGCAGTCTGTTAATCCTTTGCAGCCTCACAGAACTGTTACAGTGGAGATGGAGGCCATTTGGCCCATCATGTCTGCACTAGCTCTCCGAATCAGCAATATGCTTGATGTCATTCTCCCATCTTCTCTCCAGAATCCTGCACCTTCCTCCTTTTCAGATGACTATCTAATTTCCTTTTCAATTTTTTTTATTCACTCACATGATCTGGATGTCGCTGGCTGAGCCAGCATTTATTACTTATCCATAGGTGCCCTTGAGAAGGTGGTGGTGAGCTGCCTTCTTGAACTGTTGCAGTCCACCTGCTATAGTTGACTCATAATGCCCTTAGGGAGGGAATTCTAGGATTTTGAGACAGCAACAGTGAAAGAACAGTGATATATTTCTAAGTCAGGATGGCAAGTGTCTTGGTGAGGAACTTGCAGGTGGTAGTGTTCCCATGTATCTGTTGCCTTTGTGCTCTAGATGTAAGTGGTCATGAGTTTGGAAGGTGCTGTTGGAGGACACTTGGTGAATTTCTGCAGTGCATCTTGTGAATGGTACACACCACCGCTACTGACCGTCAGTGGCGGAGGTGCCAATCAAGCCAGCTGCTTTGCCCTGGATGATGACAAGCTTCTCGAGTGTTGTTGGAGCTGCACCCATCCAGGCACGTGGGGAGTTTTCCGTAACACCAATCACATCTGCTTCTACCTCAGTCTCAGACCGTGCATTCCAGACCCTAACCACTCACTTCCTGGGAAAAGGTTTTCTCATCTCATTTTTGTTTCATTGCCTAGTCACTTTAAATCTGTGCTGCTTTGTTCTTGGTCCTTTCACAGGGGTGGGCACAGTTTCTCCCTATTGAAGGTATTCTCAACTGCTGCCCATGTTCTTGGTCTGATGCTAGGCACCCAGTGTTGTGACGTGCCTTTATGAGGGTTTATCTGAAACTGCTGATCATCATTAGCCAACGCAGACAAGAAGTGATTTAGAATCACAATGGTCTGGCGACAGAATATAAACAAGGATCAAGAGTAGGCCATTCAGCCCCTGAAGCTTGCTCTGCCGTTATAAATCATTGTGGCTGATCTGATTATAACCTTAACACCATATTCCTACATACATCTTGAACCTCACTGTACCCCACAATCGATCTGCCCCACCTTAAAAATGTTCGAAGACTCTGCTTTCATTGCCTTTTCAGGAACAGCATTCCAGAGATTTCTGATGTTCTCCTCATCTTTAAACAGTGACCCCTGGTTCTGGATTCTTCCAGCAACCTGAGAGCTAACCTCTTCTGTTCGAAGTCTCCAAGTTACCATAATGAAGGCAAAATATTGTGGTTGCTGCAAATCTGAAATAAATTCAGAGAATCCTAGAGAAACTCAGCAGAGAGAAAAACAGAGCTACCATTTCATGTCTGGTATGACTTTTCATCAGAACCCAGGCTAAATGTACCCCAACTTCACTTCACTGGCAGAGAGGTGAAGACCACAAGTTAGATTTTCCTTTGTGGACTCTTGCTGTGCATTTAAGGCAGCATTTACCCATATTTCCATGTTCTGTGTTATTTGTACGGTCTGGGGGCGCTAGTGGCAGGGGTCTTGAATATTAGGCAGGATGCAGGAAATACAAATGCACACCTACGTTTGTACTCCAAACCAGCTCCACTGGGGGCACTGTTGCAGGTGTGATGCTCAAGTAAATTCCTCTGTCTCTTCGAAGTGGCTGCAAAGTTCCTCAGGGCAGAATTGGATGAGAAACCAAATGCACTAGCTTTCACTGCATTCTCAACTGGCAGCGTCAAGCTATAACAATGAGTCCTCACTCATTTCAATTCTCTTCAAGAACATTGTTGTCATTAAAAGATTTGTTGCACTTGCCTCTATAACAGTTGTTGCTGTTGTAAAGGTAACTTATAGAGTGAGGCATTGGAGAAATTTCAACGATAATTTGTGAGGTTAAAACAAATATTTCATTCCTCTTATCATTTAGTTATCATCTGGCTTACTGTCCACCCTTATATGCCTACTTCTATTCTTTAGTTTGCTGAAGCAGTACAAATATACAGTTCAAATCCACTAAGATTTATTCTTCAGACGAGGAACAAAAAAAAGACAGGAATATCTGAATATTTTTTGCCATCTACTTAATTAAGAAGCAAATCCATTTTGCCAATTTGTATTTAATACACACCAAATACGTTTTGATTAGTTAGGTCCAACAATTTTCTCTGTTCGGTTCAAACAACTTTCAAAGTAGAAGCTATCTCCATTTACATGGAAGTAGCCATTAACTGTCACAGAGTTGCACTAATAACCTTTAGGCACCAGATAATGGTGTCAGAGGAGGGTTACCTGCTGCTGACTAACAGATAGGAAACCTGGAGTCTGTGTGTTTTAAATTTATACTGTTTCCCTCGTTTCAACAGAGTGCAAACCCGTTTTAATACAGAGAAATCTGCTTTGCAGTAAAGTTTTTTTTAAACTGGAATCTTCAATTAAGGGTAGGCTATTGTGCACTGATATTTTTGTTTCCTGTGTAGAATATGGCCTTCTGACATCATTATTTTGTGACAAAAGAGTGTTACTGCTTTATCCAGTCTGGTTAATGCCTCTCTCAGCATACGGGGGAAACAGACGTTTTTGAAACTGACTTTTCCAATGCAGATAAAAAGATTTTAAAAAATGAATTGCTGCTGGTTCTAGATATTGAAGAAAGCTGTATGCATTAAACATAAGTTATTTTGGAGTCTCCTTTTAATCAGTTTTTGTGATAAGTACCTTTTCTAATAAAGAATTTCAAAGACACTTTTAAGGAGTAATGATGTGATTTCTGCTGACAATAAAGTTCAACATTCTGTTACCAGTTATACATATAAATGGTATTAGAACAGAAAACTCTCCGATTGTTGTGTGTTTGCAGAAATATTTCAGGAGCAATTTATTCATAGGAAGAATAGTTCATACAGATATTTCGGCATTTTCTACTTCTTCGTCATGTCCAACATCTGCAGGATTTTGATTTTTGTCGGAGTGGTTCCATGTTTTATTTATGAGGAAAACAGCTGGAATGAATCTTTTACAGTAAACATCTGTCTCAATCAGTTTGTGGTATTATAAAATCCAGTGAACACATTAGCATTGTAATTGTAGATAGATACAGTTTCTATACTCTCCACTGTTACTCATAATTCTTCCCTTCACTATCCTTTTTTGATCGGTCCCATGTAGTTGCTTTCTGTTCTAAGTTTGGGATTCTAGTTTCCTAAAAGTATGCTGCTTAAGTCCATGGTCTTTTTAGATGAGTCTTCAGCTAGATCTTTACATATATTCTTTTCAGATCAAGGTAAAGGGTCTTTTCCCTTCCAGATCTCCCTACTTACTCATGTGACTCTGATATAATCATTACAACTTCATGATGTTAACACCATTGTTCTACCTTTCTCCTCAAGTCTTTGTTCCTATTTTACTTACATTCATACGCCTCTCCTCTTAGTCTCACACTTCACAGGGTTAGCCACAGTGGTATGTTGGCCAATCTCCCTGATCTGGTCCTGATCTAATTCTGAGGATAAGGATGTTCTGTGTTTACCTTTCTGTTGGTATGGGTATCCTTCCCCTGGGTGGCTGTCAAGCTTTTTTCTTTTCCTTGTGAGTTGTAAAGCCAGGTTTCTAATGATTTCTTATTAACGAAAATAATGCATTGTCTGTCCTTATGGTACCATGGTCTGTCTCAATCACATACAAACATTGGTCTAGAAGATTCCAAAATCTTGGGAGGTTACCAGTACATCCCTTGTTCAAGGGACAAAAGAAGGAGAAGAAATAACTTCCAATAATTTTCACTCGAGAAAAAGTACTAGGGAAATAAATGGAGCTGATAAGTCCCCTGTGCCTAATGGGTTGCATCTTAGAACAGGAAAGTCTTGTGAGGAAGATTGAGGCCACAATCATCTGTGTCAGCAACGAGAATGTGACTAATTAAGTGACAGCAGACACTGTTGCTAGTTTTCACATTGGAAATCGTCCTGCTGTCTGGATCTTCAATGGATCTTTAATTATAGCTCTGCTGGTTCACTGATTGTGTACTTGCACAGCTGGACCCTTTTTATTTAACATTGCTAATATTCAGAGCTTTAGTTTTCATTGGTGAAAGTGTGTAGGCCCACCTTACCGTTCAGTTTGCTACCCAAAGGCAAGTTCAACCCAAGAGCTGTGATTTCTATCACGGTTAGGGTAAGGAGAGAGATTCCAATTGTACCCTAGCCTAAACAGTGATTCAACGCATAATGCTGGCACTGTCACACCCAATTGGGAAGAGTGCACTGATACTTGAGCACTGCTATTCCACAAGCTGTGAGAAATGTGTCGAAATTTAAATAAACCGCAGACGCACTTTACCTCACTCACTGACTGCAATTTGGAATGCAACAATAATACACATCTGGTTTTGTCATGATTGAGAAAAGTAACTACTTATTATAGTTTAACAAAATGGCAAAGAAAATGAGTTCTTAATCACTAAACTACTACTTAATCCATACCCCTTTTACCCAAATGTATACTAATTCGCAAATAAAACAGAAGACAATTTGACGCAAAGTCTACTGGCGGGCAAAACGTAGTCAGTAGAAACCACAGTTCTATGTCACAAAGCCAGACCACAAAAGTAGAATGAGTTGTTTTTAAAATCTAATTCATTCTTATTGATGGTGACATAAAATGATCAGCAAAGCGATGGTCAATTTTTACTTCACCATAACCCTACCCCTAACCTTAACACTAACCCTAACCCTAACCCTATCCCTATACC